TGCAAAAGTGTTAGTTCTTACTTTTGATTGATGAATTTAATAATGTTCATTCTATTATTTGAAATTAATAGGCCAGTAAATAAAATAAATGAAAAGTTCTTTTTCTATAAAGTAAATAAATAGAAGTCCTTCAATGGTGGAAACTGAACTCAAATGTAGAATGTGATTAGCCTACTGTGCAAGTCAATGTCTTTTAAAATATCTAACCCTGTACTGTTTATTCTTTTAAACATTGGTATTTGGTGCCACAGAATGAAGACCACAGCTGATTTATTTAGTCTCTGCTGTCGAAGATCTTAGCTGTTGCCTTTGTGAGTAAGAAACCTAATGACTAAAGTAAGTAAAAGCTCAAGTTTTGTCAATTTGCTTGATATTTTCATTAGTTGCTTATTGAATTGCTTGAATTAAGCCATATATGGAAAAAGGACATGTGTTATGAAACTCAGATTCGTCCGATTAAGCACAGTTGTAGTTAAAGCATAGAAGATATTCCACTCATTTTCAGAGCTAATCATTCATCTAATTTCTGCTCTACATTTAATTCAAAATTTATCCAGTCACAAAATCTAGGGTCGCCATGTCCAATAGGGTTGCCCCATCCGTCCGTGGCTGTCTGTATTTTAAATGATGGGGATTTTAGGAATTCTTGTGTTCAGTTGCTATAGTCCTCTTGGTCGCTGCCTGGGGTTGTGGGGCAGTTGGTAGCACATGTCCGTCATCATACAAACTCCCTGAGGAAGAGCACAGGGGAAGGTGAGAGACAGACAGGACAGGTTGGCCAGGAGCAGGACGCTTGCTCCACCCAGGGCCACTCCATCAAGAGGTCCTGTGGAGGGAGGAGGCCTTATCTGTAGGGAAACAACCTGTAACCAGATCCTGGTAGCAATCCAGGTTATTGTTCTTGGCTTTTTAAAAACATTCATGATTATTGATGTTTTTTACTCTAGTGAAGCCGTGCATAGATCTATAAATAAAGACAGAAATTAATAACAAGATTGCTATCCTGAATCAATGATGAGCAGTACCCTGGGTGTCTGCATCAAGGATTTTTGACTAAACCCTATGCCTGGGAGGTTCATTGCAATAAGATTGAGATTTGTTATCTCTATAAGAAATGAGCTGATTCTAGGAGTTAAAAATAATAGGGATAGTGTTTTGGGGGCTTCTGAGTGTGGAATATATTGTTTTCAGTAGAGCAGGGCATAAATACACCAAGAAACCTATAAATGAGAGAGAATGGATGACTCCCATTTAAGCATGGGGGTTGATAAGGCAACGAGAGGACAGTTCCAGGGACATAGGTGATCAGAGCCACCCCTCTTGGTGAAGGAGCATTGAGATAGGTGGATGCTAGACACTGTTTTGTTCTAATTATGTTTTATTTTTTAAAAAGGCAAAATATTTACTTAATTTCATTATTGATTAATTGAAAGAGGGCATAGGTCGGGATCTATGTTGAGAGCCTGTCACATGGCCAGTTCTGATTAATACAGTGATCTGCACTGTGCTTAACGTCAGTTCTTGGGTTTAATTAAAAAAAATAATAAAAAAATGATCGGATCTTTTTTTTTCCGTGTCTAATGAGCATCTAGACAGGCATTAATATTGTGCAGTTCCTGTGGAGTCACAGATATATAATGGTCTCATTATGAACTTGAAAAACAGTAAGTTAATGCCGCAGTTAATCATTTAAAAGGAAGCAAATCATGGACCAAGGAGGACCCAGGTTCTAAAACAGGGAGATGGATCAGTGTAGTTCCCCACGCACTCCAGATAGTTAAAATAGACTTAGGACCTTGCATTTTTGGAATGATGGCTATATTTATGAATTTAAATAGAATTTCCCTTTTTTGGCTTGTTGATACAATGTCCTTAAATATGGAATAGCTAAATGACACCATGTGTACCTAGAGAGGTCCTGTGTGTTCATGTGCATGTGGATATAGCTGAGTGTGCTTCCATCTACATCCTGTACCAGGGTTCATTCAGAAGATTCAGCACTTCCCTGCATGGGTAGAGGCATGCAAATAGACATGTGTGATAGTTCTTATTCTTTTGTCCGTTGCTCATTATAGTATATTTAATATTCACCCAATCGGTGAGTCCACAGGGATGCCATAGGTATGTTTAAATGTATGACAAGCACTGAGTTTTATGCTGATCAAATATTGATTTGAACTGAAATAGAAAAAAAAATCCCTCTATCTATCTAATCTGCTTTTTTTCTGTTTCTATTCTGCAGAATGGATGCACAGAGATACAATCTTTCTCTAGCGAGGAAGGTTTTGGTTGTTATCCTTTTGAGTAATGAGGTTAGAAATCTATGTAAGTAACAGATTAATTGATTCTGGTTTTATGGTTTATCATGGACGTTAATTCTGTCATTGAGAGGGAATAAGTGGGTACGTATACAAGTGAAATGAATGAAGGTCAGACGTGGACTAATTCATCATATCTTTGGTCCATTAAAGAGAAAGAAGCAAGACCATTCTATTTTCATACTCAATTTATTCGTGAATTAATTAATGTAACATTCATTATTCTGTTTTATTTCTGAGTGTCAGTTGATTTATTCTCCCTCTGCTTATGAAGACATAGTTTAGTCACATTCCAAAATGTAAGATATCGTCAGCACTGTATGTGTGGAGTAAAAGGATGGGTTCATGCTCGTTTTTGTCATCTCCTTAAAAATGGGTGAAGTAACTAAAAGATGATCCAACCCTGACCTGTAAAAGAGTATGGGATTAACATAAAGCAAGTGTGCTTGCTCTTAATTACTAGTCTACAAAACTAAGTCTGTCACTCAAAGAGAACTATCTACTTTCTCTGTGAGAAATGGACTTTGGACAGGTATTAAGCACACCTTTCTTTCTTTTGTGTTACTGAAGATTGTACCCAGGGCTTTGCACATGCTAGGTAAGTACTCTACCCCTGAGCATAGCCCCAGCCCTGTAAGAAACTTCAGTTTCTTATTATTGTGTTTTGTGAACCATAAGTATTGATTATATTTTAGTGGATTCTTGAGCCGGGAGCAAATGTATGAATGAAAGATGACGAAGAATGCTAAGCAAGGAGCATGCTGGGTTTTTGTTGGCTTTGAACCAAGGGTTTTGGGTAGTCCAAATTTGGTCAGTGCCAAATCAGTATTTTCCATTCCCACGATGACCCCTCTGGCTTAGAAACATATAAACATATCCTAGTAATAGGCATTGCTCTTATTATTCTAATAGGGTAATTTGGTAGTTGTTCAATTTAATACAAAAAAAAGGAAAAGAAAAAATGTTAAATAAATAAATGAAAATAAGCAAAAAACGACCAAATGGCATAGGAAGTCTGGGTTATATAACAAGGATGATGGTTCATCCTGTTCGATGCAACCTCTACCCAATATAGGAGACACAGGCTGCCTGTGCCTTGGACATTACACATGCAGGGAGAAGCACTCATTTATTTTACTTTTGCATTGCTGGTTTGTTTACTCTATTGATTTTTTTTAAGCAATGTGAATGCATGATCAAATTAATCCATGAGGAAGTACATATAGAATAAATACATATGTTCAGCAACTTATGCGTACATCCACAGGGGTAATCAAGGCCCATTGGTGAGGCTATCAAACAGTCATTTAAATTAATTATATTGGAGAATATTCTATTTTTAAAGTAGACATACATTGTGATCTACATAGGATGGGGCATAGAAACAGCAGCTCCTAGTAGATGTAGCACTTTTCCTTGTGTTTGCTGATCAGTTAATCATTTTCATCATACAATTAAAAAGTAAATCTGAGAAGGTCCTAAGTGAATCATAAACCACCAGTGACAAAACTCTTGTCACATCTCAAGGACTTTAATTAGTTTAGTCATACATGACATCCACAACACGGAAAACAACCACAGAGTTTCCTTCCTTCTGACATCGGTTTTCTGTTCCGCAGCCTAAACGCCTGACAGCTGGTTTCATCAGTCTCTGGTGATGGAGGCTTGGATATGTGCCAGTGTGACGTGGAGTGCAGAGGCTGACCCCAGGAACTGTCAACGTTCTCCCATCCGAACACAGGCCCCTGTCATGAGGTTCTGAGTTAGAGAGTTGTGATTTTTATCATTGTAAGTTGATTCATTTCACAACCAATAAGCAAATCTATAAATAAATTATAGAGGACGAAGCATTGTCCAACTCTGAATCCATGTGTTTAGGCAAGAAGTCTGGGGACTGATATTTAAGGATGCCTCGTTAAATATCTTTAAGGTAGTGACTAGAAGGAATAGTCCATGTTATTTTTCTGGGTTAGCTCAAGTTTGACAGCGTTATTTTTAACATAGAGGGAATATGTAGATATTATCACAGATTCATAAATACCCAAACGGAAAGGGCAATAAACAGATTAATAAAGACAGATCATCCAGTTTTATGATTTGCATTATTCTGAGTCTCCAGCCTGATTTCAGCCTTGTGCTCCCAACCTGACTCTCTCTGTTAGCATGAAGACTCTTGTGAATAGTAGTGCAACTTTCCTTTTTGGATTAGTTTGTTTAAAGTGATTCTCTGTTATAGGAAAAAGATGTTCCCAAGATGGTGTTCCCAAGATGGTGACTGAATTCTTCTGTAGTCATGAGGTTTGTGGTCACTGCCATGTTGTTCACAACATAGGAGCCAATGTAAGTTGAGTCAAATTGCTTGTCCTGGAGCGGGTGGTATTTCAAGTATATTGGTGATGTGATAAATGGATTATATACAATCTGAACATAGCAAATGTGGCTGGATGACAAATATGGCATGAACATGAAATATTATATTGGTTAATCATCATTTATACAAATAACGTTGGTTAAGGAGAGAGGCAGGCACTTTGGAGAAAGATCTTATAGTGGTCCATGCCCTATTCCTAAGGATCTTGTTCTCAGAGATTTGTGACTCATAGTTACATAAATACTTTCAGTGAGAAGATGAATTGGTCAATAAGCAGCTGTAGATATTATTGAGAAAAGAAGAGACAAAGTTGGATCAATGATGACCACTGGTGGCATATGAGTCATGGATGATGACTGCGGGTCTGGATATCTGAGGTCCAATACAGATGACACCTAGTAGATACTGGGTGATGTTTGGTATAGATGTTAGGAAGAGTCAAAGATGTTTTTCTTTGTCTCTGGATTCCTTTTTTCTTTTAAAATATTTTTAGTTGTACATGGACACGATATCTTTTTTTTTTTAAATTTTTAATGTGGTGCTGAGAATTAAACCCAGTGCCTCACATGTGCTAGGCAAGTGCTTTACTACTGAGCCACAATCCCAACCCCTGTCTCTGGATTCTTGAATTTTGATTTTATTTTTATAATTGGTTCAAAAATCTGAATCAGTAAGCAGTATTCTCTGAAGGACAAATGATGTGTGAAGGCACAAAACACCAATGATGTATATTGAATCACAGATATCCATTAGGAAGTGAAGGATCAGAAGAGCTATAACTTTGGATGAGGATCATATATTCATGAAAAAAAATGTCCTATGTCTTTGTTCTGGGCTGAACCCCATTCAATGTTTATTTTCTCAAGGAAAAAGAATTATAGTTTAATACAAACATAAATGACTAATAAAATGAAACAAATGCATGGAGTAACAGTGTCTTTAAAATCCGTTGTACTTTGTACTCTTCGGAATGAGTGTTCCAAAGATGACCAGAGTTGCAAGGTCCATGGATCTTTCTTGTGTTCTTGGAGGAGAGACCAATGTAAGTGGAGTGAGGTTTCCTTTCCTGGATTGGGTGGTGTTTCGGGAGGCTCATTGTATCCATAAAAGCAGTATATATATAATTTCAGAAGGGCAAAAATGACCAGAAAATAAACATGTCTTGGGCATGAATTGGCCAGGTTCCATATTCTTGGTTTCTTGAGCAAAACTGTGATTTAACTCCTACGGAATGAATTATGAAATGGAAGGAGAAAGGCAAGGATCAAGGGACAGAAGGTCAACCTTTTCCTAACTCCTTGTGCTCTGTCCCCTCAGAATGGACACTCTGAGATTATGGAAGCATTCTTCTCTGGCCCTGTGATGTACAGTTCCTGTGTGTGTTAGGAGCAGGTGAGTAGCGTCAAGAGCTTTTGTGTTGGCTGGGGTGGTTTCTCCAGGCCATTCACTGTCCTAGAAAAAGCATCACACATAATCTATGAAAACAACAATGGCTGAATGATAAATATGGCCTGGCCATGGTCACATTCGTTGATCACAGTTGGTAAAATCAACATGGCGTCGGGGAAGAGATGAAGACATGATGTTAAAGATCTTGTAGATAGCTATGCTGTGTCTCTAAGGTTACTTTTTTTAAAAAGTTTTTTTTTTAATGTTATTTATTTATTTATTTTTATGTGGTGCAGAGGATCGAACCCAGTGCCTCACATGTACCACATAAGCTACAACCCAGGTCATCTTTAAGGTTCTTGATCTCAGATACTTGAGAGTCATAATTATGTAGTGGCTTGAGTGACAATTCGACAATAAGCAACTGAAGATATTATTGAAGAGCAGGGTTGGTCTTGGACTAATGATGACCACTGTGATGTATGAGTCAAGGATCGTGATTATAGGTCTGGAAGTCTGAGGTCCAAAACCATAAGATAGCTAGTGTCTTCTTTGTTACCCTAGGGATAGATAATATCAAGAGTCAAGGATGTTGTTCTTGAACATTAGTTCTATTTGTTATAATTGTATCAAAAATATAAATAAGGAAAGAAGTGGGCAAGGCTTTCTCTAGTGGGAAAACCGTGTACTCTGCTTCCTCAGACCATTGATTCTTAAAACCAGAAGTCTACCTGGGAGGAAACAGATGAGCTATGTTTTTTTTTTCTGGAATGGATGCTGTGTCCAGTTTATAAAAAAAGTGTGGGGAACAGAATTCTGTTCAGTGTTTGTTGGTTTTATGAAGAAGAAAGTGTGATAATTTAATGCATGGTTCATGAAGAAGTAATGGAAGGATAAATGGACAGAATTCCAATGTCTTTAAAATCTGCTGTGCTCTGTACTCTCACAGTGGGTGCTCCCAAGATGTCGACAGCATTCTTCTCTGGCCACAAGGTCGGTGGATCCTGCTTATGTTCACAGTTTAGAGATTAATGTGAGTTGAGTGAAACTTCTCGCCCTGGGTTGTGTGGTGTTACAAGGAGGTTCACTGTAGTGGTAAGAGCAGCACATGTCATCTCAGAAGGGCAACCGTGGCCAAACAATGACCATGTCATGGCCGTGAATCATTATGTTGACTACTCAATAACGGCTATATTATTTTGAGCGAGTAAGAGTCATACTCAAAGTAGGGAAAGCTCCTGTAGAGAGCTGTAAAGTACACATCAAGAAGTTACCCTAGGGCCTTTGGACCATTGTTATAAATATTATCAGTGAAAGGATGGATAAGTCAATAAACAATGGTAGAAATTAAGGGAGGGGAAGAGCGCCAGTCTGGGACCAGTGATAACCACTGGTGGCGTATGAGTCAAGGATGATGACTGTCTCTGAAACTCTGAGGTCCACACCAGAAGACATCTAGCTTGTAATCCTAGGGATAGATATTAGGTATTATCTAGGATATTGTTCTCTGTCCTATGGTTCATGAATTTTCATTCTATTTTTGTAATTGGAACAATGGTGAAATCCGTACATCAATATATACAATATATAAAAAATGAAGATAAAGTGAGGGAGGCATTGTCTGGTTATGAAAGTATATGTCAAGGCCAGAAGTAGCTTGAAAATGTTTGAAAAACATGCAAGTCTATTCAGACATAAATAGTAGTGATTTTTTAGAACCTTGGACGAGGATGGCATGTGCAGAAACAATAATGGTTCTGAATCCTTGCTAGGGTCAAGGCCACATTCAATGTTGTTGGTTTCTTGAGCAAAACTGTGATTTAACTCCTACGGAATGAATTATGAAATGGAAGGAGAAAGGGAAGGATCAAGGGACAGAAGTTCAATCTTTTTCTAACCCCTTGTGCTCTGTCCCCTCAGAATGGACACTCTCAGATGATGGAAGCATTCTTCTCTGGCCCCTGTGTGTGTTAGGAGTATTGTGAGAAAGGTGAGTAGAGTCAAGAGCTCTTATCTTGACTGAGGTTGTTTCTCCAGGACATTCACTGTCCTAGAAAAAGCATTACACATCTATGAAAACAACAATGGCTGAATGATAAATATGGCCTGGCCATGATCACATTGATCGATCACAGTTTGCAAAATCAACATGGCATAGTGGAAGAGATGTAGGCCATGAACCTCAAGACCCTGTAGAAGTCCATGCTGCGTTCTTCAGGATCTTGATCTCAGATGCTTGAGAATCCGGGTTATCTAGTTGCTATGCGTGACATTACAAATTCATCAACAAGTAACATTGATAACACAGGAGGGAAAGAGGGCATGTCTTGGATCTATGGAGACCACTGGTGGCACATGAATCAAAAATGATGACTATAGGTTTGGAAGTCTGAGGTCCAACACCATACGACATCTAGGGTTCACTCTGTTATCCTAGGGGTTGATGTTGGCAAGAGTCAAGGATGTTGCCCTTGGTCTCTGTGTTCTTGAACTTCCATTTTTTTTTTTGTAATTTTATCAGAAAATAAAAGTAAGGAAAGAAGTGGGTGTTCTCCAGTGGGGAAAACCATGTGCCACTATTGATAAATATGAATCACAGAGGTCCAATTGGGAGGAAAGGTATAGGATGGAGTCTTTTTCTAGAATGGATGCTGTAAAGTTCCAATGAAAATATCAATAATTAAGTGTAAATAAATACATATGAATAAGTGAAGCATGATAGCATTTTTATAGTCTGTGGACATGTAAAATGTGCCACCAATTTTTATGGAAAATGTAAATATATTAATTATACATTCTTTTAGTATTTCTCCTGTATCTAAAGCTGATACAGATGATAAAACAAAGAGCTACTCTTCTTATTCTGAATTTCTGAAGATTAGTTAACTAGTTTTTTTAGGGTCTAAGGAAATGTGAAATGTGTTACTCCAAATCAAAACCCATATATATATCTCTCTGAAATGCAGAGTGAAGGATCAGTGTAAAAAGCATGTCAATGTTTGATCCCTGCTTTTCTCTTCTTTCTAGAACAGATGCACTCTATTTGATTGATGGATTTCTGAAGTTGCCTGTCTTATTGGGGAACTGATAGAAATGTGAGTAGTGATAATAGTTTTTTAAATGTTTTTCAGGAAAATAGCTTTTTGAATGTTTTTCAAGAAGGCATTCCATGTATTAATATAATGGGTTTAATATTGTCAAAGAAAGCCAATTGTCTCTGATGATAGTTATGTATTCATATGAAATACTGTGTGGTGCTCCACCTGGACCCTAATGATTCTTGGCCCAGCACCATTCATGATGCATGGCTGATAAACACCATGTGAGGAACTGGAAGTTCCAAACAAAGGCAATCTAGCATGCTACCTCAGTAGGAAGTGATCCTGCAGAGAGGTTGTAAGATGCGAGTATTGTGTTCTTGATCTTTGCGTTCACGGATTTTAATTCCGGTATTATAGTTGGATATATTAAAAGTATCAACAAATGAATGTGAATAAATAAATAGGTAAAGTATCATCCAATTATGAAAATGTGTGGAAGGAAGAGAGCCCATTAATACAAGTAAATTAGAAATGCTCAAGTCTATTAAGAAAGGCATCGTTTAAGAATGGTACTTTAGCTAATGATCATATAAACTGTACAAGTAATAATCATTATGATTAGTACAAATAGGGCAATGAAGAATTAATAAACTAAGATAAGCAAATATGTGAAGTATTTTCCAATTATATAAATGAACATGCATCTAAGGGCCTGAGCTGGAAAGACTGGCCAGGGTGGCCCTAGCTCGGCAGTCAGTCACATTTTTGCTTTGTGTTCCTCAGGATGGATGTGCACGTGGGCTTACAGATGCCTCCGTGTGGCACATGATGACAGTGTGAGTCCTAGCCCCAGACTCATCCTGCTAGCCCAGGCTGCTGTTGAGGTGTTTCCTCTGTATTTAAAAGGTGTGAAATGTCTTCTTTGAAAGCCGTCCCTGACATGATGATATATA